GGGACAGAGAGAGGTTAATGATTTAAATACAGAAAAGTGCATGCTGATGAAAATATAAATACGAAATACTTAAAAGAATTTCCTAACATTTTTGATTGACAAGCTGATTGATCAGGGCCTTTCAACGTGAAATTGTTGTACGAAAGATCGCTGCACAATGTTAATAAGATGGATGAAATTAGCTGGAGCATCTAAATTATACATTTACAAACAGAAGCATTCATCAATAGCCATTATTGATGACAATACAGAAAGAAATTTTAGGTTTTACCAGTATGTGCAGCTTAATATTTTGCTATAATACTGATTAAAATTATATATTTCATATTTGTGATGCAGGAAAAGTTGATCATGTAGCGTTGTAACAACGCACATTCAATCTTCACTCACAAACAAGATGGAATATCAGGAATGATGTCAAATGGGTTATAGATAGTAAACGTACATATTGCTTCCATCCTTGAAGAGTGCATCTGGGATATTTCCACTCAGCATGTTTCCAGTGACAAACCTAATTAGGGAAAACCATATAGTAAGAATTACGTACAGAGGGACAAAAATGTAGTTTCAAGATGTTACCAAGCAATGTACTTATTTCCCAAAATGCACTTAATACAGAAGTGAAAGATTGAAGTTTTGTACTCACACGACTTTCAGTTTTCTTGCAATGTCATCAGGAATATTTCCCCCTAACTTATTGAAACTCACATCCCTGTTTATGTCATAGAACATACGATACAGTCAAAAAGAGCAACCCAGTAAAAACAAACAAAAAGTAGTTAGTTACCCAATATCTGAACTTACTGAATCATGCAAACACATTATTTCAGTACGATCAAATTCTGCTGTGTTATTAACAGAACTGCATATCAATTGAAGTTAACAAAATATTTATTTAAAGACGTGATAACATAGTTTTTTCATTGCGTATACATTTCTATTTGGTCTATTCATTTCTGAGTGCTCCGGGGAATTATTTCATAACTATGGTTGCATATCAAGTCCCCCATATCATGTTTCAATTATGGCACGACAATCAACTTCGGGACAAAACCCATGAACATTTGAAACAGAAGTATATCATCTGTCAAAGAGTATAATAGGAGAATAATACCCAAATACAGTTTCCCTTGAACAAAGTCCAGACATTTACTCAAATACTGAAGGCAGAATGAAGAACTAAGTAGCTGGACAGAGAAATATTGACCAACGTGCAGCCAGTAAGTAACCCTAGAATCATGTAAATAAGCAGCTAAATGATCGTTTTAAACTGATACTTGGATACTTACAACATCTGTAGAACCCGAATTTTCCATATATATGCAGGAATTTGGCCAGAAATGTTACAGTTTCTTAACACCCTAAATCAAGAGTGAATTTATCTCATTAGTTTACGGTTAAGAAACAAAAAATTAAATAATCTCAATATGCATAATTGTTCAGCATACAGAATTACTATGCTTGTCATGCTCCGCAGCAAAGGAAATCCCTGAGTTGGCCCGTTTATGTCACTAATTCTCCTGTATAAGAAAATTACGACATGAAAAATACCTAGTAAACTGATACGGAAAAACCAACTATAAAAATAAAAAACTGAGGCCAATGCAAATCTTATGGAGGTTCTACTTACAAGATGGTTAACATAGTCAGAAAAGATATGCTTGAGGGAATCGGTCCCTTTAATCCACTCGCATGCATTTCTCTTCAATGTGGATAAAACAAATAAATGTTATACAAAATAATTGCGAAAAAAAATTATCTATCATATCTTCAAAAGCACTTTTAGGTATGTAATGATCTTACAAACGCGTTAGCCGTTTCCAGTTCTGAATAAATTCAGGTATCGGTCCACTGAAATTGTTATCATTTATCCTACTGCATTGTAATAGGGGCCTTCATTAATATATCAACAAATTTCTAAACAATAAATTGAAGACATAGTGTTCATGCTTACAAGTCATCTAAGTTTATCAGTTCCGAAAAAGACGTTGGCAAGTTTCCAGTAAATTGATTGGAGGACAATATCCTGTTATTCATAACCAATGCAGACTGAAATAATCAGATTTTGTCTCATCCATTGGGAGTCGCATGTGAGATTTAAAGCATGTGGTGCGGTGCATAACAAAGAAAGGAGGGATCTTACAGAGTCTTCAAGTTTATCAACTTCCCAAGTTCAGAAGGAACAGAGCCTGAAAATTGGTTGACTTCAAGATTCCTGGTAAAATGACATGCAGAATAGGACAATAAATCATCCTTTATTTCAACAATAATAAGAAGACAAAGAAGCCCTTTTTGTTTGTAACATCTCATTGTAGAAGCCTAAATTGTTAGAGAAGGAAAAAACTGTTCCAGCTAAATACATTTTTTTGTTAAAGGCCTAGCACATGTGACAGTGAAATTTAAACCCTGAACCTCTGTTTGCTCTGTTACCATGTCGATCTATTGAATAAAAGAAGATGGAGAAGGAAAAAGTGTGAATAAGAAATTATTCATTTATTGCTGTTTTCTTCTCTTACTTTCGTCCATTTTTTCAAAAATTCAAAACTCCTTATAACTTTTATTTAACAACTAGATTTCAATCAGCAAATCTATTTCAGAAAACAAATAACATATCATATACTTAAAGACATACATGTACGTGAGGGTAGTAACATTTCCCAGTTCCTTTGGTAATTTCCCTGATAACCGGTTCACAAGAAGAGAGCTGCATCAAAATTCTGTACTTAGTGGTGCCAAAATAAATGAATAACTACTAGAATACATACACGAATCAACAATGGAGCATACACGGAATTCAACTGTGTTGAAGCCCATTCAGTTGGTATTGTCCCGGTGAGGAGGTTGTAAGCAAAATCACTGAGAGTTGAATGAAATATAAATTAAATTCAGCAGCTGATGCTCATCCATGACAAAGTCATGGCATGTGTCAAAAAAACAAATATGAAGCTGGAAATGACAGGTTCTTACATATCTCGGAGGTACGGAAGCTTCACAATTGCAGGTGAAAGAATCCCTGGAAGATTATAACTCTTTAGCACACTGTATAATGTGGAACGTGGACATTAGCATCGAGACAACGGTTCCATCAATATAGAAATAAGTATATGGAGCTATTTATTCACTGATATACACCAGTTATGACGTTAATATAGTACTAATAACGTATAGATATCACATTCTTTCCACAAAACATTAATAATTACATGGAAACATCATTGAAATATATACATTATATATATCTTAAGTGACAAGACTCTTGATCGGGAGGAACAGAACTCTAAACCATATGGCTTCCATGGGAAATTAAATTTTTGGGAAATAATAAAAGAAGGGATAAGGATACTAACATTTTTGTGACATGGCAGACTGTGTTGTTTTCATAGTTGCAGTCACAATCAACATAACTCTCAGATCCGCTTGGAGCAATTTGTGTAACCCCAACCAGTTCAACATCACATAAATGGGCATTAAATTTCCAGAATTTTGCACCCATTGCAGTGACAATTTGTTGCAGCGCATCCACTAACAGATATCAATGCATATTAGTATCCAAAAAAATTTTAAAAAAATGCTATATTGCATAAAGCTCCCTAATCATATGTTTAGTATGCAGAAATGAATATGACAGCATAAAATCTTAGTTAATCATGCTCTGTTCAGCATCTAAACATACTCTTACAGCATGTTTCATAAGGAATACAAAAAAGAAGCTAAAACTTGTCAATTATACAAAATATACACTAAGACTGTATTTGGTATGCAGGAGCAGCAAGACGGTATATATAACAAGACTGTAGCTTCTTTTTTATCCTTAATATATTCTAGTGTAATCCTCCATGACATACCAAGCATGCCATTATTGTATTCAGCACAAAACATATATGTATTAGAAAGAAGTGAGAACAAAACAGTAACTGAGGATACTAACCCCAAAATAATGGCAAAAACGTAGAAAAGATTTACTAAAGAACCACACTGAAACTTAAACCAATCAGATACTAAAATCTGCCTAAATACCCAATATATGCCTCTTGAGTTTGAAGAAAATCGCTTAGCTGATAATTTGCACATATCACTTTAAGTTATTGAGCAAATAAACGAAAAAACAAAGTTAATAAATAAACAAAATAATGAGAGATCTTCAATTTTCTTCGGGTGCACTATAAGATAACTGCATATTCATGAAACAGGAGCAAAAACTCAGCTTCTTACCTTCTTCTTTAGGCACCTGTTGTGGCACAGCAAAATTCAGCAAGCTGAAACAACTCAATACAAGAATCCATGAAACAAAAGCGCTTGTTGACAGCATTTCCAAGCTTCTGGTGGATGGATTAATATTATAAGGAAAGAAAAATGCAGTCGATCTTGATTTAATGCATCATCTTTAATAGTACCTTTGCGTTTACAGGGTCCCGGAAGTAAGAAAAGGTCGGATCTTGGAAGTGTATGGACAAGACATTAATGTAAAAAAAAGGTTGAAGCCCAACCTTGAGATCGATCGTCCCGTCATTGGAATTTTGTGAAGAAGGTAAATTGGGGAATGTATTTCAATAGATCAGAAAACAAGAGCTATTTGTACATTGTACCTATAAGAAGTCCAATTCCATGTTTTAAGAATCGAACGCTCACACTGCGACTGCCAGAAATAATCCCCTCCTGCCCTTTATACTACTGGATTATATTTCGAGAGGCGGACAAGACATTAATGTATATTCTATAATCGGGAATATGACCTTTTTTGATTTCGCTAAAAGTTAACCATGTACATTCTATAGTCGAGAATATGTGAGTTATTTTTGCTGTACTTCGTCGTACTTATATGTGCGACGCACATTATTATTATTTTTTATTAGTGTTAGAATATTATTTTTAGATATCACGTCAACATAAAGAAGATAATTGTATTGTATCTATACATTGTTGATATAAATAAATAAGTATATTTGTAAATGAAGTATCAAATTAACAAAAATCAAATTTCCAAATCTATCTAGATGGAATTTGATATGTTATTAAATTGCACAAATATATAATATTGTGGCACTTATTAAAAAAAATTCAAAAAAAGTCTACGGAAAAGACAAATGTGTAAAAGCAAAAGGAAAAAGTTATTCCATATTCCCAAATCATCAAACCCACACGCAACTTTTCCAGCACCAATACCATTTAATTAACCGCCCTCTATCATTACCACCAGTATCTTCGACGAAAATAATGCTTCTCCAACTCCAACAAAGCTGAAATTTTCGAGTTCAAGGCATTGTAGTAAATTTTCAATCGTGTCAAGCAATAAAAATGATTACATATAGTAAACCAAATAAATAAATAAATAGGCAAACCAAAAGACATAGATAATTAATATGAATCTTAATAAATTAAGGATAACCACGAGGAAAAAAGAAAACCAATTACAAAAATATGGGGAAAAAAAATTCTTTTTCATTTTTTTCCCCTTGAAAATAAAGTAATATACCAGCACTCGAAGAGTAGGAGGGGATTCTGAAGCTGTTTTGAAGTTTGAGGACTTGTTTGAACCGTATTCTTTCAAAAAATACATTTTTAAATAGTGATTTGACATCATTTGAACCATACATTTTTCAATAAAATAATATTACACACAAATTCAAAAATTTTCCTCAATTTTTAATCATACATTTTTCATCAATATACTATTTCAAAATAACGTAACTCAAACACACGCTGAATGTATCGCACTACCTTTGCTTCGTGTAGACAAATAATAGCCCTCCTAAAGAAACATATAGAATTTTTAATTATACACAAAAAGGAAAATCTTTGAAAGAAAAAGTCTGTTAAATACGTTCCAAATAAAATTGACGAATAAAATTTTAAATAGTTGCGAAAGTCATTGATGATGTGTATTGAAAAATGTACATTAATTAATTAGTAACAAACAAATACATTATTAATTTAGAAATATGAAGATAGTTTAGTTTCGATGGAGATTAAAATTAAATTGATTGTTGACTTTGACTTAAATTAAAATCTAAATTTTAATTTGTACCAAACATGGGCTTAATGTCCGTATATACACACAAGATCTTGAAAATTGATTTAGACATTCTTAAATTAATTAAACACTCTTGAAAATATATAATTAACTGAATGTGATGAAATGGTGGTCCATAAATTGTTTAAATATAGTTAAGATATAATCATCCGAAAAATAATTTGCGCATCGCATGACTTTTAATATATATTATAGATTACAGAAACAAGTCTCAATCTCTGTTACTATCAAGTTCAATCACGTTAAAGAATCATATCGAGTCACTTTTGTAAGAAAAGTTGGCACCTATATATGTCCTACAACCTTGCTACATAACCAAATAGATATGCTACCTACTCACGTGGCATTCCATCATTGGTCGATTTTTAAAAAAAAAAATGAAATTTCTTGCATCAATCACTTGTTTCCTTACTTTCATCTGTCATCCAAGATGTCAAATTCATCTGATAAAATGGCATTATTCTACGTACCGCGATAGACACGTTCATGGAATAGATACACTACGTTACCATATTCGATGGTGCACTCTTATTGATTGTTGAAACAAAATGTATTCTATTTATTACATTAAGTTCTTGTTTAATTTAGTTAAAAAATTAAATTTTTAATAGTTATTAATATAAATTGACGAAATGTGATTCAAAAAGTGAGTACTTATAAAACTCATTTAGTAAAGTCCTCAACTTATAAATATAAATAAAAATAATCAAACTTTGCCTGTCATGCACTACATAGTTGAAACTTCCTAAACAATTAATTACTTTAAATACGTGAAGGAAACGTCTATCTTAGGGCGAATTTTAATTCGCCGCCTGTACTTTGCAGCCACCTTCTGGTATGTGTCAATCGTAAAATTAATCTAAACAATTTAAGTCAACAATTTTGACCGTCACCTATTCCCTAAAGTGGGCTAGTTGATTTGAACTAAGAATTTTCAAAGCTATATTTCAAATTTCGCACTCTTAAATTATTAACTTGGTATTTGATTTGTAAATGTCCCGTGACAATAACATTTAAATTTCACGTGTTACTATTTTTATTTACTTTTATCATTTTGCCATTTTATCATTCATTTTTTTCCGCCTGAAAATATTATTATCATACTAAATCTTACAACTCGAGACGAATCAACTTGGCTCGACCCAAAGATGAGTCGTGAAGAACCAAGCTAAGATTTTGTGGAAATTACACAAATACAGGTATTTAAACTTCCTTATGCAAAAGTCAGGTGCAAAGATCATTTAATCAAAATTCAGGTATGAAATTAATAATTACAAATATATATCTACAAACCCTAAATAGGCTAAAAATCATTTTCCTTCTTTCCATTCTCTCCCCTCTCTCTCGCTACCCTATCCGTTAACTGCCATCGGGTTGAGGAACGCTTGTCATCGGAGACCACCGTCCACTGTTGGACCACCACCCACATCAACAATCCACTACCGTACTCATGGTGATGATTGTTCACCGACTCACTCAGGCAAAAGCACAGTAACTCGATCTGAATTTTTCTCCTTCAGGACCACCACCCGGAGCACCGTTGTCAGTGCTGCTGTAATGAAGAGGAGATGTCATGACGAAGATCCAACCTTTCGCGAATCACCGTGAGTTGCGGTGGTGAAATTAATGACGATGGTAGCGGCGAATCGGATCTGGTGGTCGGGATGGGTTTGGATTGTGTTTTGTGTGTGATGTTATGTAGTGTTTGTGTGGTGGTGAATCTGGCAGTTGTGTGATTATCTATGCTCAAAGATTTGAGTTGAAGATAATTACATAATTCCAATGAAGTTGGTGGTGGATTGGATGGTGTTTTGTGTGGTGGTGGACCTGGTGGTGAATTGGTGATGGAGATTTTTGTGGTGGCGGTTGTGGTGGTGAATTTATTCTCTGTAGTAGAGAAATCTAGTGGTGGTTTTGGGTGTTGAAGTGGTGTTGGTGATTGTATTGTGTTGGTCGACGGTGTGTGGGTGTTGTAATGGTGGATTTTCAGTCATGGCTATTTGTTGATGTGGTGGTGGTGTATGGTGCGATTGTGGTGGTAGTGGTGGCATGCGGTGTGCAGTGGAGGTGGAATTATGCGGTCAATTTAACTATGTGTGTTGGTGGTGTTATGGTGCAGTGAGGTGTGCAGTGGAGATGGAGGTGGTGGTGCGGTGGTTGGGTGTGTGCAATAGTGGTGTGATACTGTGTGGTGGTAGCTTAGGTGGTGTTGACCAATTGTTATGACGCGATAGTGGTGCAGTGATGGTGATGGATAGTGTTTGTGACCAAGTGTTGTGGTGGAATTGGATTGGGATCGGGTGTGGTGTTGCGGTGGTATAGTGCAATCGACGATTGGATGGTGGTAGTTTGTGACCAAGATTGGTGCTGGATGAGATCGGTGGAAGGGGTGATCATAAAGTTTGGTTTGTGACCTTAAAATTTGACGATGTGTGATTAAAACAATAAACTGTGACCTCAACGATTTGGCCTGTGACCTTAAAATTTGACGATCTGTGACTAAAACAATAATCCGTGACCTCAACGATTTCGTCCGTAACCTTAAAATTTGATAATTTGTGACTAAAAAAATTCGTGACCTATAAAATTTTCGATTTGTGGCCTCGAAATAATCCGTGATCAATTAATTTGATGATATGTGATTGAGAAATAAATCTGTGACCATTAATTGTTTAACTGTGACTTTAATATATTTATTTAATAAATAATTTTAATTAATTAAATACAAATCTGAATTTTGAATTTTCAAACTTCTTACCTGACTTTTGAAATGGTGTAAAGAATACACCTTAAATATGAATTTTTCCTTGCAAACCACTAGTCAATTTGCATGGGCTAACTTGTCTCATGAGCCAGTTTTCGAAATGGCTGGAGTCGGAGCTAATTGCTCACCTTGGCCCAATAATAATTAGGCTACCTAATATTTCGTCTTAAATGTAACAAAACTGAAAAGTGACAAGCTGTTTGTTCCTTCAAGGATGGGTTGGGGAGCCAAACAAGCTTTTTTTCAAAACGAATTGATATCTACTTGACTCGGTCCATAACATCTCATCCTAAGTTAGTTCCTTTCCCCAACTTACGAAACCCTAGCCACATTCTAGGTTCAAAAATTCATCCATTTAAAAAAAAAAAATGAAAGAAAAAAGTAAACTACTAATTTTCTCACATATTGCAAAAAATAAATCAATAAAGTGCCCAAAATTCAAATGAAGTTCACTTTCCAATTTCAAAATCGTTATTCGACATTTTTGCTTGCAAACATCAGGAAATGTGGTGATAAGAGAAATTGGTAAAGGGTTGAGGCTAGAGGAGAGAGATATGGAGTCCACATTAATGATATTGGATGAGTATGGGAATTAGATTGTAATTTTGTCAGTTTTTCATATGGGACTGATTTTTACGACTTTGTTCATATATTTACTCGACTATGTAGGTTGATGAGGTTATGAGTTTAAATGATATGAATTTTGTTCAATTTTTCAGGTGGGATTGTAATTTAAATGCAAAAGTTATGAATTTTTTACAATAAATGAGGTTATGAAATTAATTTTCTAATTATGAAATTGGAATTTTTCATTTTTTGAGTGATTGAATTAAGAAGATATATCATTTTATCGTAGTCATGTAAAATTTGTTAAAATCCAACGAATCAATGAAACTATATAAAGTAGAATTCTGTTAAAATCTTATAAATTTGGCAAATTCTGTTCACACATCACACATTTAAAATTCGATAAATTTTATGAAATCCATTCAATTCTTAGTAGAGACACCGTCCATAAAATTCGTTTCTTCCTCAAATTGAATTAGTGGGTTGGCCAATTGAAAATGATAACAGAATGCACAACCATTCCAGTCTATAGATTCATTGAGAGAACTTTTGATTTGGTATTTGAGAACAAGGGATGAATTCTCTACAAACCAGTCCTGCACCTATGTTCTCACTAATTGGGCTCAAAACTCTAATATTAGAGCCCATCAGCAATTCTGTTAATCAATATCCTTATTCCATACTGTATAAAAATCCCAATATGAGAGAAACATTTTTGGACAATTATTTACGTCCTTGCTAATTCTTTAATTTATTAATTCCCTCTTGATTTGTTATTATTATTATTACGAAATGCACAAGGAGTTGGGAGAAATACCGGAGTCAAGGTAAGACAACCCAAGGAAATAGCCGACAATTGTCATCATCATCGTCTTACTCAAAATTTGTTTAGTTTGAATTGGGCTTATGAATTAAGATTCGCATTTCATGTCCCTTCATATTCCATAACCTAGGTGAGCAGCTACTTGTGAACTTCGTAAACTTTACTAGCTAATTGGTTTACTACTGAATTAGATGTTGGAGAGAAAACGCGTGGGTCGAGTTTGGCTAACAAATTATGGAATTGAAAAAACACGGCTAAAAATGGACATAAATATTTACGTGGTTTACCCAATTTAGGTTACATCCACGGACAAGTATAAAAGGATTTTGTTACAGTAAGAGAATTATAACACACTCTCCAACAAGGAGATAACAACAATTAATCTCTCTTGTAATTAGGAGAAAACAAGTAGGAAATACTCTCTTAATTTTCTCTCTACTCAATTTGCTTTCTACAAAAATTTTTTTTTTTCTCTCTGCATGCACTCTTTCTCTTCAGCCTCTTGCCCCTATTTATAGAAAATTTCCACCGCCATTTTCCTTGGAAATGTCCAGAAAATCAGTTGGATATTTGGCTGGAACTTGCTAGATTTTCACCGCCTTAATTTGCTTGGAAGAGTCAAACAAAATGGCTGCAAATTAGGCTGTAAACGGGCTGGAGCAAAGCTGAAATCCACCGCCTCAATGTTAAGGAAAGTGGCTGGAACTCTACAGATTTGGTTGGATCAAAGTTGGATAAGAAGAGTTCAATTTGCCTACTTCTTTTTTCATGCATGCAATGTATCTTTCTTGCTTGGCAATTAAAAAGTGGCTTATCCTTTTATGGTCAATAAAAGTGTCTTTACTATTCAACATTAGAGTCCTTGGACATCATGTGTGCTATCGATGAAGAAAAAAGATGGAACATGGAGTAATTGGTGGATGAGTTATGTGGGACAAATGTATCCTACATTGCTGTAGTCGAAATATGTGGGATGTTTTTTTATTTATATTAAATATTTACGTTTTATTCTGTGTCCAATCTATTTATGGAAGTTCTTACTTTAATTTCAAAAAAATTCATCTCTATGAAGTGTTCAAGATTTATGTGGAACTAACATCATACAAATCGACATTTTGCCTAGAGGAAAGTCGGCATATGAGAATTGGATGTGCACTTGACCTGCATGCAAATTTTTAAGCAGTGTTCTAGAAGATGCGTTTAGGTGAGTAGAGAAAAAGCCTCGCATAAAGGGTATGGTGGAGAAAAATAGGTAATTAACTATGATGCACCTAGGCAGAAAAAAGACGTGCACCTTTTTGTTTGGTGAGTAGCGTTTTCACAAGTCAAGTCAACTCGATTTATTTAGTTGGAAAATCTCTTAATTATTGAAGTTGCTTTTTACATATATAGGTGATTATCACTTGCTGGGAAGTTTAAAATTTTCATGATTTACTTTGTGAGTTTTGTTATCAACTTATTTATTGTATGCTTTGAATTTAGCACACGTTTTATATGGATAAAAATTAGATTTTAGTAAATTTTGATAAAAATTGATAAAATATGTGATTCAAAAGTTGAAAAAGTTGTGAATTCCTTGAGTATATGATTGAAAATAAATTTGAAAAAAAAAATAAAAAAGAATTTCAGAAAATGAGAGCCAAACAAGAATATATTGTATCACTTAAAACATCTTGGAATAGTGTACAAAATCATGTTGGTTCGTATGCTCTTCACGTCTGATTCCAATCAAATGGATGAATGTTGTGTCCTTGACAAGATGTGCTTAGTGATGACAATTTATCCCGTCCCGCCCCGTCGTCGGGTGCAGGGCGGGACGGGGCATAAATGGTCGCCCAGTCGTCGGGCACGGGGCGAGGTGGGGCAGCCCCGTGATTTTTTTTATTTTTATTTTTTTCTTATATAGAGTTCATCTATTCAACATATTTCAAAATCGCTTTTTATTTAAACTTATTTTCTATCACAATTTTTTTAATAACATAATTTACATGTAGACCTATTATTTTTTATACTTTTTATTCACACATCTCTAAAAATCATTTTACACTATAAGTAATTTTATTCCAAAATAAAAACTTAAATTTACATAAAGTAAGGGCATTCTTTATTAAAAGTTCAACTTGAATGTTATCCGTATTTTATTAAACTCGAAATTAAAAAAAAAATTAAACGAGGGCAAGAAAATTGCCTCGTCCCGCCCCGTTGCCATCACTAGATGTGCATATTAGTGCTTGTTTGATATTCATGAATTTATTTTATGGTTTACTATATGATCATTTTTAACTTCATATTCACATGATAATGTATTCTAAAAAATATTGTTTTACTTTTTAATTACACATTCTCCTAAAAATGCTATTCAAAATTAAATTAATTTTTTTTCCCAATTAGTGAGAATTAAACAGGCTCCTTATTGCCTACAGTAATTGTCAATATGATAACATGTTTGTATTAAACAGTGAGACACAAGTACTAGTCAGCGGGGCCAGTAGAGAGCACAATTAATTAATTATTTTATTTCTCTGAGTTGCCTGTACGAATATTTTAAGTTAAAAAATATATATTTAATAAAATTAGGGCCAATAAATGTCATTGTATATGCGTTGAACTTGTAAATTATAAATTGTTGTTTAACTTCGGATTGTAATAAAATTGATGGCTGCAAACTTTTTGCAGTTCTAAGCAAATATTCCTTTGAAGTTTGAACACAACCAAATAAACAAAGATGCAATATCATTTTATTAGATTCAAATGCCAAGTTTTTTCAAGAGTCTTTTGTGTTGGAACATCTGTACATTATAATAAACAAAATTTTATCCTCTTTTTGTTTCTTGATACTTGAGTAGAGTTGGTTCGTGCTGCGTTTCTAATGGAAGATCCCCTTTTGATAATTTCACGCAAGGGCTTGTCCGTAAATCTGATAAAATTATAGACCCAAGCACCTGCTATGGCTCCAGAAATAGGAGCCAGAATGTAGTTCCACAAACCCTCGTAGCGATTGTAAACAATTGCTGGTCCCAAACTCCTTGCTGGATTCAGTGATGCCCCTGAAATTGGCCTGTCATTTCAGAACAAGCCTTAGAGTTAATATTTTTCAATCATGTCGAGTATCGTGTATCAAATTCGAATGTGTGATGAAAGTATTCAAGAAATTGTTTGTTAAACTATCTCATCTAAAAACATGCAATATTAAAAAAATGACACATTTATTTTTTTCAAATTCATCTTCATTTAATCAAAACTCATCGTACTCAATATTCATAGTAGTTGATTCATCGGAACTTGAATCAATCTGGTGTGAAATTAAGCTACGGGACAATTATCTAAATTAATCAGCCGTACCCGGCGAAAAGTATGTTAAGTGAAAGAGTAGCTCCAATGGCAATGCCTTTGAGTTCTCCAATCTGCATCGTTGACAAAGAATGTTGTTATTATTAGATAGAGACAATTAGTAATTAACAATAGAATTTTAAATCAATCAGAAATCTAAACATGGATGAATAAAAAATATAATGGATGAAGAAGATGAACTAACAGCTCGATTATCTGTGGCTACACCAGAAATGACAAACATGAGGTAAAATGTGGTAATGAACTCAATCATAAAGGATTGAACATCCGATCCCGACGAAAGGGTTCCAATAAAGTGATCTTGTTTCCCCATAAATAATAGTCGAAGGGTTCCACTAGCTACAATCAGCGGCGAATCCAGGATCGAAGTCCAGCTAGGGCGGGTTGACCGTTGACTGTTGACCGTTGACGATCGGACTAGGACTGGTTGACCTTCGTAATTGTTATTTTTTAATATTATAGTTGCAGAAAATTTTTATGAGGAAAGAAATGGCAAAAATATGTAAATTTTGATCAAGAATCGAAGAAAAATTTAACTATTTCATGCACGCTTGACTACACTACAAAATTGGGTCATTCTAACCTTACATCACTACCTTTACAACTCTATAAACGACCAGTGGTTTGTAGATGTCAAAATTATAGAACAAAATCCTTGACTACATTTAGCAACTAGCAAGTATAAATTTCCGTATAATTTGTGAAAACGCATGAGAGAAGAAAGAGAATTTAACTTATTAAAAATCATTGCTGCTAAGTGCTAAATCTCATTGGTTTTGACAATTGATTAAAGGTACAGTATGAGGGAACACATGATTGAAAAGCTCAAAACTCCAATAAATTGAGACATTTACAAGTAGAACAAAATTCAACAAAATCAAAATAGCCAAATCAAAATAGAACAAAACCAATAAAAGAACAAAAAAAAATAAAAAATAAAGAGGGCCGGAAAAAAAAAAAGAGTTACCACACTTTACACTTACCAGTCGGCAGTCGGAGTCGGGTGACTAGGGCCTCTCGGCAGCACCGCAGCAGGCGGCAGTAGGACTGCAGGAGCACTGGAGGCCTGGAGGCTGGAGCAGGCGAGTCTTCGATCGAGTTCGAGTTTCGGTCTGCAGTCTGCAGACTGCAGCAATTTTTCTGAACCGGTCCACAAAATGAAAGTGAAGAGGATTAGAAGAGGATCCCTCCCAGTCCCAGCCGGCAGCCAACGAATTGAACGAAGTCACGAATTCACCTTCACGATTCTGAAATTGAAAGAAAGGGCAATGAAATCATTGAAATGGGTATTAATATGGGTCAGGCTAATGGGTTTGGAATTTGGGCTAAATAATAAAAGGCCCAACATTTTGTAAAAAAAGCCCAAACCAAAAAAAAAAAATTGAAACGGGTTCCATCTTCTTCTTCTCCAGCGACCGTCGGCGACCACTGGTGACACTGCCCGGCGGCTCTGCAGACTCCGGCAGAGCCAGCACGCGCGGCCGCGCCCCCTCGCCGGGTGCTGGCTCCGCGCCTGGCTACAATTGAAGCAAGAGCTTGAGATACGACATAGGCTGGTACCTGCACGATGAGAAAACCCACGTTTGATCATGTCAAAAACAATATATAGATGTGTTGAACCACCTCATATAGAAGCTTAAGCTTTTATAGAGAGGACAAAGCCTCCGCATGTGAAGCTTGGATTTTTCATCAAACGCAAGCCTACTCATCTTAAAGCTTAAGCGATGAGAAACGGCGTTTTCAACTGTTAAAACCTATTAGGGGAGATTCAAGTATAACGTATATATGTATATTTCCTGTTTCCACGGGAACCTCTTGAAGGTGGCAAAAGCAATGGTTACAGCGGGATTCAAATGTGCTCCAGAAATATGTCCAACGGAGTAAATCATGACCACCACCACCAGTCCGCACACGGCGGCTATTCCTGGAAGTGTCACTACATTTTCCATGTTTTTGTTCACCGTGATGGCTGCGCAACCACCAAATATTAGGAAGTAGGTTCCAATAAACTCTGCGATCAACTGTAAGCATGGAATAAATTACATATAACATATATATTAGCACAAAATAATAGTAGATAACAGATAAAAAAAACTTTTGTAGGAGAATCAGAATCACCTTTTGCACGAAAGATACAGAAATAGAACAGCCTGAAGAATTCCTGGTGTTAGTGGATGTAGGAGGAGGAGGGTTTTGATTGAAATCATCATCTTCTATGTTAATGGACACTACTCGGTTGGAACTGACTCGAGACATATCGTCCATGGTAGCTTTTCTAAAGAGAGAGACCCACTCCCCAAACAAGAGAATATGGTGTAACTTCCCTTAATGTTTGTTTTCAGCTTGATAGTTGCCACTGTTTTAAATAGCGAAAAGAACTTCGTTTGAAGTTGTCTCCTTTGACATTATTTTTTTATGAAGTTGGATAAGATAGCATTTGGCAGTATCATTCTTTTATCATCAACAGTTTAACACGAGAATATTATTTGTAGTCGCATAATACTTAAACCTAGATATTTGATGTCCAAGTAAAAAATCGTCACATATTCCATAAATTTTTGCTTCTGTCATTGCAATGAATTTTGCCAAATTAAAGCAAAATGATAAAAATAAAAGACCGTTGCAGTTCTTCGTACATTTCTTGAAATTTCTTATGGATATCTACGTATTATCCTATAAACATTTCATGGAGAAATTCGTTCCAAAATTAACCTAGGCCTTCTACGGAGGACATCTGAATTAATTTTGATAGCTAAAAATTAAGATATTGAGCATGCTATTAGTACTTCTATAGATTAAGCATGAGAAATTAATGTACTTGAAAATACTCATAAACTTGGCCAAACACGCTTTTTTGTACTTTTGTATAATTAATAGTTATTTCGGTATAATTAATAGTTATTTCGTTGAAGCCGGCAAAGTCAGATGAATAATTTGTTTTTTCTCGATAAAATAGAACACTCAATCAGTAGTCGGTACGTTAGAATGCACTCTATTGATCCGCACAAAATGGAATTTTTATTATATGCTCAACTTGTTGATTTTTTATTATTTAATCCACATCAATACGTATGTATTCAGTAGTCGGTACATCAAAAAGGTTGAATCAGGGCCCTCACCGCTCCGCCTCTGGAACATCGTGAGGGAGGTAAATCGTGGAATATGTCCCAACAGATCAGGGAACAAGAGTCTGCCCGTATATTGGTGTCTACAAAGAATCCAATTCCATATATCAGGAATCGAACCCTCACACTACGATTGTCAATAAGGCTAAAACTATTTCACATCTATCTTTTGCATCACTGAATTATGCCCCGGGGGCGTAATCGGTACATCAATACATATGTATAGTCGGTAGACATAATTTTGAACAGGTTCTAGCGACTTCCTTCAATGTATAAAGAATTCAGTTTGTGGCTTTTTATCTGCTTAAAGATAAAATGTTTTCTACAGATTTAATTTTACTTCCAGTCTATTTTTTGACTGGTTTGTTGCTCTTTTACAGTTTTACTAATGCACAGATTGCCCCGTTTCCCGTCTATTTTACCTTCAAAGGTTTCGAAATGCATTAATTAAGAAACTTCCAACATGAAAAAAAAAAAAAGGAAAAATTGATGAAAATACTAATATATTGAAAAAAAAAAAAAAGGAAAAATTGATGAAAATACTAATATATTGTTTGCTTATGTTATTGTTTTCCTTTACCTTCAAACGCAGGAATTTTATCCATCTCAAATGGCGTCGAAATAGTGCATAAAAGTAAAATTAATTTGGTAAAATAAACTTAAAAGCATATGATTTTTGATGATGGATTTACAAGGGAAAATTTTGTTTTATATTCCATAATTTCTGCTTCTTTTGCGATAGACACCAATGCAAAATGACAAAACAAGAATATTCGAGGCAAAATGTTGCGTCTAAAGTACTTCTTTGTACATTTCTTAGAATTTCTCATGGGCATGCTACGAAATTTAACCCTAGCAATTTGTGGAGATTCGTAGGAAAATCAACTTCGACTTTTCGTAGGAGGACATCTAAATTGACTTCGAAAGCTGCAGTATTAAGATTTTGCTCTTTGGATAGAAGATGTTCTTATAGATACTCCCAAACTTGGGAAAACATGGTCTTTTTACGTTTGTATAATTAATTAGTAGGAAATATTTTGTTGAACATGGAAACTCATACCCTTAATTTGCCTTTTTTTTATCAAGAAAATCGGTAATGCTATTAGTGATGGCAACGGGGCGGGCCCATTTATCCCGCCCCGTCTTTGACGGGGTGGGGCGGTGGCTTGGCCCGTTTAATTTTTTTTTTTTTTTTTAATTCCGAGTTCAACTAGATTTTTTTGTGTTTTTTTCTTTGATATTGTCACAAAAGTTGTAACCCCACATACTTTAATTTATTACTATATATAGATTTTCAAATTTATTCAGTTGAACATGTTATATCTTTTTATATTTGTTTTTATCAATATAATATCAATTTGACAAAGTAGTATAATGGTATATATAAATTAGTCAAGTTTGATAAGACTTGTACAATTGAAAATACTAGAAAATAGGTCACATCCTTCTATTTGAAACAAGTTGAATTCACGGGCCGGGGTTTTTTCCCATTCGAAACGGGCTGCATCGGGGTAGGGCGGGATAGGTAAATTGTCATCACTAAATACTATCAGTAGTCAGTATATTAGAATGCATTGTACATATATCTAGTCTCTACACACAATTTTGAATATGTCTCAGCGACTTCTTTAATATATAAAGAATTCAGTTTTTTATTATTTTAATCTATCGAGAAGTCTTAAAATGGTTATCCACTAATTTAATCGAGCAAGTTTTATGCAATGATGATCATGAATTAAGGCACGTAACAAACTCTGATTGTTTCTTTCAAAATGGACTGAAATAAAAATGTTGACTTGGAGTATGTTTGGCTAAGCATAAAAAAGTTTACTTGTGGGTAAATAGAAAAAGATTTAAATATATAGAATTTCCTTTAATGATAAAAGCTGAAAATTAAATATTATGTAAAAATCTCGGACTCGACTCCAATATGCAATTTCCTTTATGTAATTATTATGTAATTTCTTTACTCGAATACAATTTTGATTTATTTTCTCATTTACAAACACTCCAGAAAAATGCTTCTTTAGAGATGAAATTTTTCGTCGTTAATGACTTGAATTCACTAGGTAATAGCTTTTAGCGAAGAAACCCTTCCATTGGTAAATTCGAATTTATCAATGGATTCTTTGGCCGTTGATATAGCAACAAAAAAAATAAAAAAATTGTTTGTTATTTACAAATGAAATGTTTCCATAAGTAATTAGCAACACGATTTTTCGTCGCTAATCTGTTGTTGATTACCGATGCCAAATTTAAGTATTTTAGCAACAGAAATTATAAACAACCTATTTGTTTAAAATGGCTACTAATCTTTTATTTTTTCTTTTTCCATCGCAAAATGGGTATGTAAGTTTTGTTGCTACATATATTCCCAATTTTCTACGCAAATTTTCAACAAGAATAAATTCTTTGAAAACTCTTAAATTATAATTTAAAAAAATAATGCCACTAATTATTATATTGATATATTTTTATAGTGAATTAAAAATATTAAAAAGTAAAAATACACCAACAAACAAATAAGAAATTGCAAATATTTTCATTCCATAAATTCAAGATTCAAAATCACTTCAATTTTGCTTTCCTTTCAAATCGATTCTAACGTCTTGAAATTATATCATTATTATCTCGTAGGCATCATCTGCAATCAAATGAGCCTGTAGCCTTGACCATTCACATGACTGTACATGTCTTTAACCCTGCAAAAATAACATAAAAACAAGACCATCCAATCTTCTTATGGTCACGACCCACAATCCAGATATATGTATGTATTTGTTTCGCGCGGGTTAGTCGCTAATAATTAAAAAGGGATCAGACGATTGTGTAAGGGACAAACCTCTTGAGACAAAGTCCCAAAAATTGGTATTTTTATTGGCGATGACTTTACAATTGAAAAATAAAACAGAATGCCTCCAAGGGGCGTAAGCACACGAGTTACTGAAAAGAAGTGTTTAAATCTAAACTAAGAAATTTAAAGTTACATATTCTCTGTTTGAGAGTGTTTGATTCGGGGTCTTTTGCTCCATGTCTTTTCTTCCTTTTATACTCCCTGAATGATCTCTTAGTGATCAATCGCTTAAAAACTGCTTGATCGCTCTATAACTGCCCACTTTCTTCATAGTGGCCAACTTGTCATGGACCTGCCTTCTCTAACTGCTGCCATTACTGTTTGTCGTTTAATCGTCTTCAATTGAATTCCTTGAATCGTGGAACTTGATAGGGCTACTCAATAACTGCTTCATTAACCGCACATTTGGGTAACCATAATATCATATGTTTGCTAAGATCTTGGGCGACTCGAAGGTTTGGGCGAGAACAGGGTCACAGTTCTGGGCGACTGCATGGCAATTCATTCGCTCAAATCTTGGGTTACTTGTAACCTTGGACGATAGTATTATCGCGTTCATGGGCTTCCCTATTTGGGCTTTTATCCTGCATTGCCTGATTGGGCCGTTCTTTGGACTATCTGATTTGAGGATCCTCCAATTGGGCTTCATTCCTTGAGCTATTCGATTTGGGCTGAACTTTTATGTATCAACAATTACCCCCCCCCCAACATGGCAGAATTAATACCAATTATTGATTTTTGCCATATTCACTTTGTATTTCCCAGCAACATTCGAAATTCCCAAGAATTTCAATAATTGTTTTCTTCCATAGCCTGAAAAGGTGCGACGTTTGCAAACCCTTATAACCCCCAAATACACACTATTTCATTGCACCACTAAATCATGCCTCATTGTTTCGCGCTTCTCTCTCGCAATATTACTATTCATCTTCTTGCTTCTTTGCTACGTAACTTCGAAAAACTCTATTTCGTTCCTAATGGCTGCTTCACAATCTCAGTCTGGTGACTTCTTCAGTTTCAAAGACTTCCAGAAACTCCTCACTCGGCCATATATAACTCCGAACTTACTTGCACCAGCCAATGTTGAACTCAATGAGTTCTATCTAGGTCCTTCATTTAACAACGCCGAAGCTATCGAACAAGTGGCGGTCGGTCAGCTGTTCCCTTGTACACAGGGCCCTTCGTTTCTAAAATCTTTGTCGCTGAGGCTGCTTCACGAAAGAGATATTCGCACTTGGCCTAAACTTGATGTCGTTTTCCGTAGATGGCATGCTCGCCTTGTGGACCATGGTCCTACTAAGGCAATTTTTGATAGTGCTAAAATTTCTGATTTGTTAGAAATCTCTCTTCAACCCCCTATTTTTGACCCAGCACTTTTTCC